TCGACCTACCCAATCGTTGCTTGCATCACATGGACCCCCCCGTCTCTTATTCACATAGTCCCTATCTCGGCGGAGGGTGCATCTACCGCATGCTGTGATGAAGGGACGGGGTGGTGGGCGAGGAGAAAGCACTCCCAATCTCCCCCCCTCATGATGGATATATATATCTGCGACTCTCCCAGCTGAACTCTTCCTTTCCAATCAAATCATCCGACAACTTGAGCTTCAATATAATTCGCCCTTTCCATCAATTCCCTCTTTGAAGCTTTTCCTTCTACTTTTACTTTAATAGCATTGTCTTTGGTGCTTCACTGCAACGCATACTTGATCTGTAAGTCGCCGGTCCCCCCAACGCTTCCCCGCATCGAGTCCGTTTGCAAGTCAAACGGGTGCCTCGATGCTACACTACTAGCCTTCCTCCTTCACTCATACAGTCGATTCGAGTATCCTTGCTCGAGGTCCTGTACATGGATGGATACAATCGAAATTGCGCGCCCCGATGCATCTTTGACGCCGTTGCATAAGCGTTACATTTTCACAAGCGCTAACGGGGCTCGCCTCGACTCAGTCCGATCAAATCGCACCAAACGTCGGAACAGACTTGTAAGTCTTGACTTCCATCTTGCTCTCTCCGAGTTTGTTGCTACACGGATGCATTGCTCTGCCCCAGGGCGTTGCGTCGCATCCAGTAACAACCTGGATACAGTCCAAGAGATGGCACAGCACATGGCGCATGGCAAGACAGCTAGCTAACATGCGAATAGTCATCGTTCGAGGTTAGAACTTGAAGTTGGACTCAGGTTGTGTCGACATCCCAAACACAGTACGCCATTGCCTGCCCGCACAGCATCGGTCGAAGAAGGATACAAAGCTAACCACTTTCAAGACCACGCATATACCAGCAGAGGAATCCGTATGCATTCCCAAGCGACAACGGTAAGCAAGCAGTGACGACCTTGTCTGCCCTCTCTTTTGTTCAGTCGGGCATTGTGCAATAGACGCCTTGAGCACCGCTGGCGACCTGGCCAGTGTGGACTCAAGTCGGCGTTGAGTGACTTCTGGGGGGGGTTCTTTGTCAAGCAACAGGACAACAGGAGACCATTGTGTAAGTACCATCCACAATCAATTTCCTTCCTTGCATGATTCCCTTGTTCGAAATCGGGCTCGTCCCTCTCCCCATGGCTATTCCTACCTCTCCAGCGAGTCGTCTGAAGTCTGTTCGCGCACACCACCCCCCTTCGCAGCCAAGCCGGCGATGCCCAATCGCTGGCTGCACAGCAGCAAGGCCGGGAGAGGGGGGCGATCTGATGCAGGCAAGCACACAAAGGGCTTCCACGCACTATGCTATGGCTCTGGTGTAACAGACGCGGGAGCCTGCGTCGCCTTACGCAACCGCGCCGATGTTTGCACCAGAGACTTTCGTGCTTGGGGGGGGGGGAGAAGAAGGCGGTGGTCGAAGCACGCCCTGGCTGCCCTTTGTGTGCGTGCGTGTGTGTGGCGGATAAACGCACGCCATGGGAGCGACTCTGACGCGGGCTTCGGGCCCCAAAAAGTACTCGGAAGTACAGTACTTTGGCTGCGCAGGCTGCTCGTTGGGGTTGGGCCAACGAGCAGAATGCACAACGCCACAGAAAAGCCATGCCATGCAGCTCCCCCCCATGCATGGCGAGGCTAGCGTCTGCACACCCGAACCAGACCTTGCCGCTGGCTCATGTACCTGGAAATTTGCTAACTAGTACCACCACCATAGGCACACTTCCACAAGGTTACCACTTCCGTTTGTACACCATCATTCATCACCACCCTCACCATCACCATCACATTGGTGCCTGCAACCATCAAACAAGCTTTCCGTCGCCGTCACCTCTTCTCCTCCACCTCTCACAGGCCCTTTGCCTTCTCCTCACTCAAGTCTCACATCGCCTCCCGCCGACTAGGTAGTTATCCTCAACGTCTGGCCGCCCCATCTCTCCCTCCACCATCACACACGCCCCCCGTCTGTACTACACCGGGCCTCTTTCACAGCCCATCTCCACTGCCAATAACAAGCTACGCCTCTGGCCTCTTGGCTTTCTGCATTTCAACACTCGCCCTCCCACTCTCACACACCTCCGTCCTTGTGCTCCCACCTCATCACGTCTTGTACTACACTCTACCTCTTGGTCACCATGACTGCCTAGGATTTCGTCCGTCTGTCGATATTGCTTGTCCTCTCTCGCATCCCCTCAGGTGGCCTTTTCATCCTGCTTCCATTCCTTGTCGCGCTGCCTTTGTATTCTCTGCTGCCTTCGCTCTCTGCCAACCAATGACCCTCGCCACCAAGAACCGACAGCCTAGTTGCATAGCCTCTTTTCAGCAAACTCAGTCGCACCATGCCCGAACCAAGTGACAACGAGCCACCACCAACACCGCCCGTTGGTAGGCGAAGAGCGTGCGTACCCTCTCGACTCGCCACATTGGCTACCTCCCAGCTTTTTCATATAAATTCACCGTCACCCTCTCTGTTTTGCTAACATGATAACTCTGGCCGCAGACCTACCATCACAATCGACACCACTGCCGTCAGCCCCGCCGCCAGCGCCGTCGACATGACCGACGGCCCAGACAGCCAACCGCCGGCGCAAATCGTCACTTCACCTCCCGAAGACGACACCACCTCTCCCACCACTCTGGCCGCCGAGCCCACCACCTACACACACCGCGTCGGACGTCCCGATCTCCGTACCGACATCTCGTTTGACAGCAGAGACAGCCGCCCAACCAGCCCGCACAATGTCTCCAGCCCCGTCCTCGGCTTCACCGAGCGCGGTGCTGGCTTCCTCGCCGTCCCCTCTGCTGACGCCCGCCCTCGCCAAAACTCACTTGAATCTGAGGACGCCACCAGATCATTGCATTCAAATGGCGAAACAACGGTAGTCGCTTCCAATTCGACCCAGACTGACAAGTACAAGTCCTCATCGCTGAGCAACGAGAAGATCATGAAGGATGACACCGCCTTGAAACCCGATGTCGGCACTGAAAAGGATTTTGAGGTCGACAACAATCCCTTTGCCTACACCCCCGGCCAGCTAGGCAAAATGTTCAACCCCAAGAGCCTCGCAGCCTTTCACCAACTCGGCGGCCTTCACGGCCTCGAAAAGGGTCTTCGCACCGATCGCAAGTCCGGCCTCAGCCCCGACGAGACTCATCTTACCGGCCATGTCTCCTTCGACGAAGCCACCGCTGCCAGCAAAAACGCCAAACTCAACACCGAGGGCTCTGCACCCCCCACCGTTGAGCGAACCGATACCCGCGCCAGCAAAGCCAGCAAGGCTAACGAACAGTTTGTCGATCGCTACCGCGTCTTTCGCGACAACCGTCTCCCCGTCAAACAGGGAAAATCACTCCTTCAGCTCATGTGGATCACCTACAACGACAAGGTTCTAATTCTTCTCTCCATTGCTGCCGTCATTTCGCTTGGTGTTGGTCTCTACCAGACCTTTGGTCAGAAGCATGAACCTGGCGAGGCCAACGTTGAGTGGGTTGAGGGTGTCGCCATCATCGTTGCCATTGCCATTGTCGTCATTGTCGGTTCCCTCAACGATTACTCCAAGGAACGCCAGTTTGCCAAGTTGAACAAGAAAAAGCAGGATCGTCTTATCAAGGTGGTGCGCGGTGGGAAAACCACACAGGTTTCCGTTTTTGATCTCATGGCCGGTGATGTCATACATCTCGAGCCAGGCGATCTCGTCCCCGTCGATGGTGTCTTGATCGATGGCTTCAACATCAAATGCGACGAATCTCAGACGACTGGAGAATCTGACATCATCACGAAGCGACCTGGCGATACAGTCTTCAGTGCCATTGAAGGCCATCAAAGCCTTAAGAAGATGGATCCCTTTATTCAGTCCGGCTCCCGCATCATGGAGGGTGTGGGTACATACATGGCCACGTCAACTGGTATCTACTCTTCATACGGCAAAACTCTCATGTCCCTCAACGAAGATCCTGAGATGACCCCGCTACAAGCCAAGCTCAATGTCATCGCCACGTACATTGCGAAGCTTGGTGGCGCTGCTGGTCTACTGCTGTTTATTGTCCTCTTCATCGAATTTCTTGTCCGTCTTCCCCGCCTTGACAGCTCGTTTACTCCCGCCAAGAAAGGACAAATGTTCCTTGAAATCTTCATCGTCGTCGTCACAATTATCGTTGTTGCTGTACCCGAAGGTCTTCCCTTGGCAGTCACTCTGGCGCTCGCCTTTGCCACTACCCGAATGTTAAAGGATGCAAACCTCGTGCGCCATCTGAAAGCATGCGAGGTCATGGGCAACGCTACCAGCATTTGCTCTGATAAGACTGGTACTTTGACGCAGAACAAAATGCAAGTTGTTTCCGGCACGGTTGGAACTACCAACCGCTTCGGTGGAGTGAAGCAGCGCGATTCCAGCGAACCCGACTCCCCCGCTGGATCGTTCCAAGACTCCAGCGCCGACATCACCCCTACCCAGTTCGTTGGTATGCTCAGCGAACCTGTCAAGGAGCTACTGCTTAAATCGGTTGCTCTCAACTCAACGGCCTATGAAAGCGAATTCGAGGGGAAGAAAACATATCTCGGCTCCAAGACTGAAGCGGCTCTCCTGCTCTTTGCTAGAGACTTTTTGGGCATGGGCCCCGTTGCTGAGGTTCGCGAAAGCGCCACCGTTATCCAGATGATTCCCTTTGACTCTGGCCGCAAATGCATGGGAATTATCGTGCAGCTGCCCAAGGGCAAGTTCAGACTTTACGTGAAAGGTGCCTCGGAAATCATGCTCGCTCAGTGCAAGACTACCTTGCATGACCCTGCCAAGGATGACTCCACCACATTCATGACTGAAAGCAACGTCCAGACCTTAAGTCGGGTCATCGAAAGCTACGCCAACAGATCACTCCGTACTATCGGTCTCTGCTATCGTGACTTTGATGCGTGGCCTCCCAGGGATGCTCGCCGCGACGACGACAACAACGTTGTCTTTGAAAGCATCTTCACGAAAATGACTTGGCTTGGTATTGTTGGTATCCAGGATCCTCTTCGCGATGGTGTATATGACGCCGTCAAGCGGTGTCAGCATGCCGGTGTTGTGGTGCGCATGGTCACTGGTGATAACAAGCTGACTGCTCAAGCTATTGCCAAGGAAGCCGGTATTCTCCAGCCCAACAGTTTGGTGATGGAGGGACCGGAGTTCCGCAACCTCGGAAAACTGAAGCAGATCGAAATCGCTTCCAAGCTCCACGTCCTGGCCAGATCCAGCCCCGAAGACAAACGCATCCTCGTCAAGCGCCTCAAGGAAATGGGCGAGATTGTCGCTGTCACTGGTGACGGCACCAATGACGCGCCTGCCCTGAAAACTGCCGACGTGGGCTTCTCCATGGGCATCGCCGGTACCGAGGTCGCCAAGGAGGCTTCTGCTATTATTCTGATGGATGACAACTTTACGAGCATTGTCAAGGCCCTCAAATGGGGTCGTGCTGTCAATGATGCGGTGAAGCGCTTCCTGCAGTTCCAGCTCACTGTCAACATTACCGCCGTCGTTCTCACCTTTGTCTCGGCCGTCTCTAGCAGCGATGGAAAGTCCGTCTTGTCCGCTGTGCAACTGCTTTGGGTCAACCTGATCATGGACACGCTTGCTGCTCTCGCTCTAGCGACTGACCCACCTCAGGAGAGCGTACTCGACCGCAAACCCGAGCGAAAGGGCGCATCCATCATCTCCCCCACCATGTGGAAGATGATCATCGGACAGGCCATCTACCAGCTTGTCATTACCTTTGTGCTGTACTATGGAAGCCCCAAGGGCATCCTCCCACTGCCTGGGCCAAATGACATCCCCCCCAAGGACCAACAGGCGACTCTTGTATTCAACACGTTTGTGTGGATGCAAATCTTTAATCAATGGAACAGCCGCCGCTTGGACAACAACTTCAACATCTTCGAAGGCTTGAGCAAGAACTGGTTCTTCATCATTATCAACGCCATTATGTGTGGTGGCCAGGTCCTCATCATCTTTGTCGGCGGTGCCGCGTTCCAGATTGCCGACTACCAGTCGCCCACCATGTGGGCCATTGCAATAGTTCTCGGCTTCCTCTCCATCCCCGTCGCTGTTATCATCCGCTTGATTCCCGACTCGTTGTTTATCGCTCTGGTTCCGAATTTCCTAAAGAGCCGCCCAAGCAAGACTCCTTTCGTGACTCTTTCTTCCGACGAAATGAGGGACAGGTACCCGGAGCCTTTCGCCGAGGTCCACGACAGTCTCGCCTTTCTTCGTAACTATAAGGGCGGTCGCATCAACACCATTGCGTATGTCATAAAGCACCCCAAGAATATGCTGATTCACTCGCGTAGCCCGTCTCGCTCGCGCTCCAACTCGGTCAACGCTCCGCAGACGCCGGTGGGCGAGGATGGCTTCCAATACCCGGCGACCCCAGAGTCGAGAAACAGATCCAGGTCCAACAGATCGCGATCCAACTCGGCGCTGGGCGGGGCCACTGTCATGGCGGGTCTCATTGCGGCTGGTGTTGCTGGGGCGTGGCAACCGGCGGACAGACGATCGGTTGATGAGCGAGAAGAGACGGCAGCCAATGCGACTAATGAACCAAGTAATAATTAAAGAGGGGGAACACACACAAAAAAAGACCGGAGTAGTAAGGCGCTTGTATCAGTACTACTCATGACCGGTTTGCAATCTTTACCTTATTAGAGGGGGCTTCTCTTATTATCATTTTCATCATGTTGAGTACGGAGTAAAAAGACTTGTTGGAGGAGCCCAACAATAGTCTCTGGTTTCTTCTTTCCCAAGGGACATGTATATATTCGATAGACAAACAAAACATACTAAAGAACATGTCTTCAAAAACAATTCTACATGTAGATAACACCATTTTGAACTGCGAATATGGTGACCCTTGTTGTGCATCTTCGGGCGTCCAAAAGGGAAGGTGAGAAGTATCATGAAATTGTATTCATTATGGTGATTTCTACATGTGAGAGAGCTTCTGATGATGGCAATGTCGACAAGAAAACCTCCAATCGGCCTTTCAAAAATTAAAGTAGTACCCAAGGACACGGCCCGCCCTGTTCTGTCCCCCCCCCCCCGGCTTTGGCAACAATTCTGAGCAAAGAAACAAGAAAAAAAAAGGACAACAGTGTATGCCAACAAGATGGAAAGACGAGATATGATGATGGGAATAGAAGGACGCTCTACGAAACAGCCAATGAAATGCGTTGCAAAAAAAAAAAAAAGAAGGAGAACAAAAAAACAAAGCCAGAAGATTTTAGGTAGAGGATGACGTGATGAACTTTGTGCTTTTGTCCTTTAGCTTTCCATTGTTGTTCGCTTCCCCGGTCTCCTCGGGACCATCGGGGACGCGCAGCGTAAACGTGTGCTGGCTCGGAAAGCCGGGCTCGGTGCGGACGAGGATGGGCTGTTCCGGGGGCACGACCATTTCGTGGTCGAGCGGCCAGCCGAGGCGGCGGCAGAGCTCGGCGACGACGACGTCGCAGTCGCCGAGCAGGTCAATGTCAAAGTTGATGTGGGTGACGGGCTGGCGGGAGACGTATATTTGGGGAATGTGCGAGGGCAGCCAGCTGACGATTTCGGAGACGGGCGTCACCTTGAGCGAGGTGCCAATGACGATGACGAGGTCGACCTTGTCGCGGTCGTTTTCCGTCAGGCGGCGGGAGAACTCGTCGGGCAGGGCCTCGCCGAAGAAGGTGATGTCGGGCTTCATGACGCCGGTGCCGGGCAGGTCGTAGGACCCGTTGTGGTTGCTGTTGTCGTCGTTGTCGTCTTCGGAGCTGTCGGCGGACCACCGGCGGCGCTTCCGCTCGGCGGCGGCGGTGCGGCGGCGTTTGGCCGAGGAGGAGGCGCGGCTGGCGACGGCCGCCTGCGCGCAGCGGGGACACTTGGGGATGACGCCGGCGCGGATATCCGGGAAGATGACCTCGCCGGCGGTTTGGAAGCCGCACTGGACGCACGAGGCGGTGCCAAAGGAGCCGTGGCACTGGATGAGCTTGTCCTTGGGGACGCCGGCCTTGACCTCGAGGTTGTCAATATTCTGTGAGTAGTTGGTGAGGAGCTTGCCACGGCGGTGCAGCATGGCGATGAAGGCGTGGGTGGGGGTGTAGCGCTCCGTGGCGGGGAGGATGTCCTTGGCGACCGAGTAGAAGACGGAGGGGTCCTCCTTGAAGATGTCAATGTCAAAGACCTCTTGCGGGTCGCCGAGGCCGAGGTGGGCGAGCTTGGCGTAGAGGCCGGTGCCCTTGGAGCGGAAGTCGGGGATGCCGAGCGACGTTGAGATGCCGGCGCCGGTGATGATGACAATGTGCGCGCTCCGGGCGATGAGCTGCACCGCGTCCTCGACGCTATTGTAGCGGGCAATCTTGGCGCGCTTGGAGAGCTCGCGAGTAATGGCCAGCGACAACAGGCTGTAGTACGACACGTCGGGCTCGCCCTCGAGAAAGGCGGGCGGCTTAATGCCAAAGGCCGTCAGCAGCTTCTTGGCCGTGTAGCGGCCGGCGTCGACGGTCCGCTGGCAAAAGACGGCGGGCCCCTGCTCGCGCAGCTCTCTGCGGAGGCGGTTCGCCTCGTCTGGCGTGCAGGCATCGCTGCTGTCTGGTACAGGGGGGGTCAGCCGGGGGGGTCTTGAGCGTGGCAAGTAAAAGAGTATTATGTGGAAATGTAGCAGGGGGGCAAACGTTTTTTTGCTTTCAACGGGAGAATGAGCTTACTGGTAGATGTGGACGAGGAAGCTGAGCTCTCCTCAGCAATAGCCTCAAACGTGTCTTCAAAGAGCGAATCCGTTTCCCACGAGTCACGCACGTCGGCCACGCGTTCCTCGAGATCGGCGAGCGACACCTCAATGGCGGCGTCATTGAGCTGCGCGACCGTTGGCTCAGGGGGTAATTTGTCGAGCGCGTCGGCATGGGCCCCGCGACGAGGCAGCTTGACGCCCCTCGCGGCGGCACGCTTGGTGCTCATGGCGAAGCTGAAGTTGCGGGCGGTCGACCAAGTTAGCAAGTTCGCCCCACGAGAGCTGTCGGGAACTCGTGCAAACGCGGGTGTCCGAGACTTGGCGTAATTTTTTGCCGGGCAGCGGAATGGTGTGAATGAGTTGAGAGGGCAAAAAAAAAAAAGAAGAAGTCTGGTGTCGGGTTTTGTGTTGTGTGCCAAACAGTCTCAGGCCGTGATAAAAAGTGGTCGGGGTGAAGAAGGGTTAGTTGATAAGGCGAATAGGCAAACCGCCAGTGTTCCTTTGGTGTGGGCGGGCCAAGTAGTAGTCGACGAATATTCTGAGAAGCACGACGACGATGACGATGAATGCGGGGTTTCTAACACGACTTGATATCTGTTTTCGCGATGGTCTGCTATTGAGTGCAAGAAATGGGGGTAAAATGATGGATGGCGTAGTATCGAGCAGGAGAAGAGGAGGTTTGGACGAGTCGGGTAGTATAGCCAGGCGAGGGTTGGTATTTGTCTCAGCACAGGCCGATGAGCCGTTGTCAGGTTCGCTGAGCCTCGTTTTCCTGTTGCTTGTCTATGCTTGTCTGTGGCAAACAAAAACGTTAGAACGAGTTGCAGGAAAAGGCAGAGAAAGAGAGAGAGGAAGAAGGAAGAAGGAAGAAGGAAGAGGAAGAAGGAAGAAGAAAGAAGGGCAACGAATAGTTGGCGAAACGAGGAGGGGAGAGGAGAGGAGAGGAGAGGAGAGAAAGAGGCGAGGTTACCTGTTATTATTAGGACGTGGTGTGTGTGTTACTGCGTTGCCCATCCACTTGGTAATTTTAACTCGCCAACCTGGGAATATGTGATGGGATAAGATGGTATGGGATGGGCGAGCGAGCGAGCGAGCCTGCTTCTGCTTCTGCTTCTGCGACGTGCGACGTGCGACGACAAGCAAGCTCTCAATCACCGCCGATTTGTCAGAATGTAGAATTTCTAGTCGGCCGGCCACGCTCTCCAGCGTTCAAATTCCAAGCGAAACCGCCGTTTGCTTCTTTTGTTTTTTTATAATACAACGTCGACGCCAGCTGGTTAGGCGTTTGAGTCTACCTGCAGACCAAGAAGGAACCACACGCAGACGCCGCCCGAAAGCAGCGTATCGAAAGGACAAGGTGCCTACTTGTTTGAATAAACAGGGCACCAATCTCAATCAACACAAGCAACTTGGGGGGGGAGGAGAGACCAAGTTGGCGGCAGCGTGATGCGAGGTGCAAACGGACGACCGCAGCTGTAGGAAACCAAGAGTTGTAAAGAAGAGACAAAATGGCCACAAAAACAGAACATCCCCCCGGCCCCCCCCATACACACACTTTGCCGTGCCGTGGCCTGTGGCGTGTGGCTCGCCGGTCTAGACTTGTGTTCATTATTAGGCCACCATGACGGGCCTCATCAGGCGTCAGCAAGAGAAAAATCCCCTCGCTCGCCGAGTGCATTGGAACAAACAAGAAAACCTTGCTTCTCAAACATGCGCAAAACTCACGGGGCCAACCTTGAAAACAGGTAAGCGAGCACATCACGCAACCAAACGCCATCTCGTTGCCATATTTGTCTACAAGTTGGACAACACTGTCGAGAAATTGCTGCATGACCGTCTTGCATCGCCATCATGTTTCACTCGACAAAAATCCCCCAACGTTATCTGATATGCGTTGCTGCCGAGACCACCCACAAGCTCACCCGTTACCACCCTACCAAGACCTATCGCCTATTCACGGCCCGTCTCGTACACACAAGTCAGACTCACACTATCGAGTCCGACAAAACGAAAAAAAAATAAAAAAATTACCGAGCAGCCTAACGATTTTCTTACCACATTCTTGACTTGAGAAATAGAAAACAGGCTGGTACCTAGCTCTTGTACTATTTCGAAGAAGCTGATAGTTTTGGGTGATGTGCTCCCTCGTAAGGCTTTGGGATGATGAGGTTGGGGAAGCACCTAATTCCGCACCCATCGAAACAATAAAAGTACCACACCTCTTCCATCAAGCGGACGAGAAAGAGCAAAGGGGCATTCCGTCGTGGCTGAGTCGGCTACTCTGTCCCTGTCGCTCGTCATCGACTATTCACTAGAGCTGGCTTGTGTACATGCAACTCATCGGGCGAGCTACCAAAAGTGTTGACGTAGAAATGTGCACCAAGAATGCCTTTTGATGTGTATTAGTAGATATAAAAGTTCCTTCAAGTCGTTATATGCAAGACTACAACTTGACAATTCCCAACTTTTTGCTCTCCTCTATATCAGACTTTGATACTTGGACAGTCCACCCTTGGACTGCCCTGCCGTATTGGTATTGGTATTGGTATTGACAGCCCCGCTCGCATTCATCCCGCCTAAGCTGCTACCGCTCAACGTCCTCTGCTGCTGCTGCTGCTGCGCCATCATGCCACCCATACTACTCCCACTACCGCTATTCGCCCACGCCGAGGTGCTGCTGGGCTGTATGCCGCCAAACGCCGTGGGTTTACTGAAACCAGTTCCCGGCGGTGGCGGCAGCGAAAACGACGACGTTTGTGTCGGTAGCGCCGGACGATGCGGCTGCTGCTGCCCGCTCATGGACAGGCTAGCCAGGGACGACGCCATGCTGCCGGTGCCCATGTTACCATAGTTGGGAGAGCTGCCGCCGCTGGTCGACGACCAGGGGTTCGCCGTGGTGGCAGCGGCGGCCCAATTGACAGAGGACGACATCGAGTGCGAAGTTGTGCTGGCAGGTTGTACAAAGGAAGACGCCGGCGAGGGCTTCAGCGGCTGGCTGTACTGCGTCGAGGACGGCGCCATGGGCTCGAAGCGCGCCAAGTCTGGCGTGACGGTGCGGAAGCCGGCCTGCTGCTGCTGTGAGAAGGACGAGCGACCGGCAGCTGGGCTGGCGGGCGCATTTGTCGACCAAGAAAAGGCGGGCGTCTGCGGGCTCACGGGGGACTTGGCTGCGGCGGCGACCCCAAGGTTAGGCTGAGGCGCGTCCCAGCTGGCGAAACCGTTGCTGCCTGGGTTGGGACTGCTGCCGGCCTTGCCCTTGACAAGGGCCTCAAAGTCGTCGGCTGTGGCACCATTCGCGCCTCCGCTGCCGTCAAATGCGGTACCGGTGACGCCGCCAAAGGCGAGAAAGTCCTCGTTGGGCGCTGCCGTCGCGCCGTTGGACGTGCCGGCGAGCTCCTGCAGCTTGCGTGTCTGCTCGTCCTCGACGCGGCGCGAGAGCGTCCGGATGAGGGCCATAAACGCCTGGAACTGCTTGAGGTTGAGCAGCGGGCCGAGGCTCATGCTCCACAGGATCGGGAGAATGTCCATAGCGACAAAGTCAGCGTCGGCCATGTCGCCGACGATGCTGAGCACAGCGAGGGACGCCATCATGACGGCGGGCTCCTTGGTCTTGATGACCTTGATGAGAGGCACTATCTTTTCTTGCATTGTGTACTTGTCCAGCGCGGTCGACGACGACGCCTTCTTCTTTTCCTGGGCAAGGCCACTGAGGCCGTCATCGCCAGCAGAGGAATCATTGGAGCCACCGCAGAGAACAACAAACGACTGCAGACCGCGGACCTTGATTGCCAAGCTCGTGGTCTTGCTGAAAACGGCGGCGACGATGGGGAACAACTCATTCTTGATGGTGCTAAAGTCGAGCGCCGGTAGGACGACTGGGAGACTGCGCAGAGCTGCGTCGACTATTGAAGGTGTAGGACATTCAATGGCAGCAACAACGACAGGCAGGATATCTGATCCAGCTAATTAGCGGTCATCATGTGAAACTGGTCCATAACTTACCGTCTTTGAATTCTTTGCCATTACAGTTGTTGGCCGCCGAGGCCAAATTCTCCAGAAACACCATGAGGCCAGCATCTCGAGCGCCGTCCTTTTCTTGTGCTTGTTTTGCGTTGGTGACAAATATCTCTTTGAGCGCTGGACGAACACGCTCGCCAAAAGCCCGACGCGCCGAGGGAAGTAGGTCGACAATTTTGAAGACATTTTGAAGAATGAGAGACAGCAAATCTTTGTCCTTGAGCTCGTCTAAAAGGGCGGGCAGAATCTTCTTCTCCATGACGGATTTGGGAAACGAAGGTAGCACCTTGTTCAACCCGCGCAAGAATTGTGACTTTTCATTCGGCGTCTTGGCCGGAAAGGAGTCAAGGAACCGAATGGTCGACACGAGGATGTTGTCAAAATATTCGCTCTCTTGAAATTCGCGCGCCGTCATGCGCTGCGCGGGCCGCCGCGTAATCAAGCGCGGCAGCACATGGTTGGCGAGTTCCTTTGGCAGCGGGCGCGAGCTCAGGAAGCCGTTGGACCCAGAGGGAACAGTGGCCGATGAGGAGAAGAGGCGCTTGTACGTGGAAATGCTGCCGTGGCTCTCGAGGGGCGATCGGTGCGGGGAGTTGTACAAGGCCACGGCGAGCAAGCCCAGAGAGAACATGTCGGCGGAGGATGTCAGGTTGTTGTCCATGACAAAGTCGGGGGATGTGTAGTCGAGGTTTAGTTGGACGTATTTGGGTAGCCGAGGGTCGAGGTTGAGAACTTCATGGAGGCTGATGCCTTGTATCGAGGTTGGCTTATTGGAGCCGTCTACAGGACTGCAGAAGGAAAGCCCGCTCATCTTCCAATCCGACTGTTGACTGTTAGCTGTTGTGGTGGAAATGGCCTAGCAGAGTCGGCTACCTTGGCGTTGATGAGAATAGCCTCGGGCGTGAGATTGCCATGAACAAGACCGGCGTTCTCGTGGAAGAATTCGAGAGCCTTGCTGATTTGCAAGAGACCCTTTTGGATCTCGAGCTCATCAATCTCCAGCTCCCTCCGCCGCCGCACGCCGTCCGCGTCCTCGGTGACATAGCGGCTGGAGCGCCCCCCCGGGCCGCCGGACCGTTCCTGCTCGTCTTTTTCCTGCAAAAGGCTGGCCAGCGACGCCGTGACGGGCTCCGTCACAAACTGCAGGCCGCCGCCTCGTGTTTCCTCGACCGGCTCGACGAGCTCGAGGATGTTGGGATGCCGCAGCTTGGCTAGACTGGAAGCTTCCTTTTTCAGCCGCTCGACAACCTCCTCGACTGTTTTCTTGAAGGAGCTGGCGCCGGAGCGGCCCAGAGCGTTGCCCTGGGCATCGAGCGACTTCTTGTCAAAGACGAAGACGCTATAAGGCTTGCCGGTCGACTTCTTCTTGGCATCGTAGATGCGCCACGGGCCGGCCGTCGAGGTTGCGTTGGGAGAGATTGTGTAGTTGCCTGTGATGTTTGTAGCGGAGATGGACTTGAGCGCGTTGGAGAACATTGTGTCGTGTGCTTGGCTGGGTAGAGCATTACAGCATGTCGGTTTCGGGTCGCAATCACGAGCCTCGCTCAGGGGAGGCCCTCGCCACGGTCCTTGGGTACTGTGGCGCGCAAGATGGAAACTCGATGGGTATCTGGAGAAATATCAAGCTGTGGATTTGAAGAGGGGAGGCTATCAGCACTACGGCAAATTGCGAGGTGAATCGACGAAATGCAATGTGTGACTTGTGACAATGACGATGGCATGGCGCTGGGAATAATGCCGCCTGGAGGCGCAGGCGGCTGTTGGTGCCACGTGTGGCGCAGGCTGCCTATGTAGGTACCTGAGTCTAGGTACTTATTACATACAACCTTGGCTGCAGCATGCAAGCAGCCTGCACACCAAGAGAAATGACTACGGCTGAAACCTAGGTTTTCCAATGAGTTGGTAAGACCAACAACGACATAATATTTCGTCTTTCCCCAATGGCCATCTGTGACAGGGCGGCCCAAGATCGGACCTGAGCTCTTGCTCTTAGGCCGAGACCTGGAGCGCTGGGCCGGGGGCCGAGATAGGGTTCCAGCGGGTAGCGGCGGGCTTTTCAGTAGCGGGAACCGCTAAAAATGATTCACTGTCACGTCTCCGGCGCCCTGGACAATGTACGCCCTACCAAAGCGGCTCCGGTACCGCATCGTGCTATTTCCAAACATCGGCCGCCAACCTTCCACCCCCGAGTATTTCTGTCCCGCAGTCCCCCCCCTCCATCCCAAACTGTCTAGCGGCCGCACCATCTCGTCAATCGCTTCGCCGTTGCCGATACGGACATTCTGGTAAACAGCCAGCCACCCCGTGCAACGACACAAACCCCGTCACGATGCGGTCCGCTCTCAGAATGCGTTCCGCCTTGCTGGGTGCTGCTCGTATGCAGCGCGCCATGCCCATTGGCCGTTTCTACAGCCAGGCGGCGCAGCTTCGTGGCCTTGATGCCTCCAAGCTGAGCATCACCAAGACGCAGAGCCCCAAGACCCTGAGGAAACCCGAGGACCTCGTATTTGGCAAGGAATTCACAGGTAGGACAAGCCACCCCCCCGGCCGACGCAACACCGTTCACAACAGCTGACACACGCCCCAAAAAGACCACATGCTCGCCATTGAATGGAACCTGGAGCAAGGATGGTTGGAACCGAAGATTGTCCCGTACCAGAACCTCTCCCTCGACCCCGCTAGTTGCGTCCTGCACTACGCCTTTGAGTGCTTCGAGGGCATGAAGGCGTACAAGGACAAAAACGGCCGCGTCCGCCTCTTCCGCCCCGACCGCAACATGGAGCGCTTCAACAAGTCCTCGGCCCGCATCGCGCTGCCCACCTTTGACCCGGCGAGCCTGATTGAGCTCATCTCCAAGTTTGCGCAGCTCGAGTCGCGCTTCATCCCGGACCAGCGCGGCTACTCTCTCTACCTGCGACCGACCATGATTGGCACCCAAAAGACGCTCGGCGTCGGCACCCCCGGTTCCGCCCTCCTCTTCGTTATCGCCTCCCCCGTCGGCCCTTACTACCCCACCGGCTTCAAGGCCGTCGCCCTCGAGGCGACCGACTACGCCGTCCGCGCCTGGCCCGGCGGCGTCGGCGACAAGAAGCTCGGCGCCAACTACGCGCCCTGCATCGTGCCCCAGCAGGAAGCCGCCAGCCGCGGCTTCCAGCAGAACCTGTGGCTCTTTGGCGAGGAGGAGTACGTCACCGAGGTCGGCACCATGAACATGTTTGTCGCCATCACGGACAAGGCGACCGGTCAAAAGGAGCTCATCACCGCGCCGCTCGATGGCACCATCCTCGAGGGCGTCACCCGCGACTCCATCCTCGGCCTGGCCAGGGAGCACCTCGCGCCTGCCGGCTGGAAGATTAGTGAGCGCAAGTACACCATGCAGGAGCTGTACGATGCGGACCAGGAGGGCCGCCTTCTCGAGGCTTTTGGCGCGGGCACGGCTGCTATTGTCAGCCCGGTCCGCAAGATTTCCTGGAAGGGCAAGATGGTCAACTGCGGCCTCAAGGACACAGAGGAGTCTGGCGAAATTGCCCTGCAGATGAAGGACTGGATTGAGAAGATTCAGTACGGTGACTACGAGCACGAGTGGAGCTATGTTACTCCTCAGTAATCGTACGAGGACGCGGCTGGAAAAAAAGCAAAGCTGTATATAGACTTGGGGTATTAGCAATAGACTGAAATTCAAGATGAGTTGGGTCTAAGACCAAATTTCGAGTCAACAAGTTCCAGGTGCAGCAGGCGTGAGAAAAATCATGATTCTATCTGAAACCATTGATGGAACTGAAGTCTTTGCGATACGAAGGAAAACAAAAGCTCGAAAACATATACAGTGCTTGTGGCTGCGCAGTCCGGGACCAAAGCAGCCTCTAATCCTCAACTGAATGCCATGCCCCCTCTAAAACCCAACACCCAATTCTCACTTCTTGTTCTCAGACGCCGTGGGGTCAGGCAGGACACCCTCGGCCTCTAATCTTCTGCGAGCCTCCTCAAGAGCCCATGTAGAGACGCTGTGCAGCAAGTTAGTATATATAACAGCCGTTTGGTCAAAATAACGCAGGGTTAGGCACGCCTCCACACCGCGCCGTCCGATCGACGCTCCCCTCAACTTCGAGCAACCCGTCCAAAATTCGGTTGCCGATTTTTCAACAGAGCTTTCGGACTGGCCACACGGCGCGGAATCGTTTCACCCGCTGTTCAAAAAACTCACCTTGTGTCGGGCTTAAAGGCCAGGGCCACGCCGGCCACGACCAGGCTGCCGCAAAAGATGTACATGGGCCACTCCCAGCCCTCGGGCTCGGGCTTCTCGCCGGGCTTGATGCCCCAGAGCCAGCCGCTGGGGGGCTCGAACTGAGACTCGTTGCCGTGGCCGGCGCCGCCGCGCTGGCGGGCGGTGACGGAGAAGCTGCGCAAGGTGGCGGCAGCAGCGGGCTGGCGGGCGCATCGCACCGCGCGGAGCGGCGCTATCGAGTGACGGAGGATGGCCATGTCGTAGACGGGAGGGTTCTGTGGGGGGTTGTCTTTGAGGAATTGAGCGGCTCGGCGTCGCTGGCTGGCTCGGGGACGTCGATTCGGGGGCGCCAATGGCTGAGGGTTTTCGATGCAAACTTGGTTTGATGATTGACTCTGCTGGGTCATCACGGCGCCTGGGGGGGAGATACCGGGCCCATCAAGTCACGTGCAGATTTCGTCCCAATCAGCCGCCGCGGTTTCGAGTCCTGGCCCGCTTTTTATTACTACATCAGGGACGCCTATTTCTGACGTCAAATTCCTGGGATTTTTTTGTACTTGACAATTGGCCGGGTTGAAGCTGCGACTTGATACTGACCGTCTTATCGCAATACTGCAGAATGTACTTTATATGTATAGAGTGGTCACTGCAGCTCGCGTTTTGAAAAGCCCTTCTACAGTCGTCCCTAGCCCGCATCTGGACAGTCGCCATGGTCTCAACACGTACGATAATGAGTTGCACACCTAAGTTATAGGCCCATTTTGTTCCCAGAGGCCGCATTTCATATAGAATGACTTGTCAGTCGCCACATTGTCAAGATGACTCTCGTGAGCGGCTCGCTAGTCAAGGCAATGCTACGACCTCGACCACCCCGAACCCGTCGAGCTCGGATGACCAGGACAGCTCGCGGGACTCTCCATCCGCATCGCCCATGAAATCAAAACGGCCAAGCTTTCGCGGCGGTCCGTCTGGTCTCGGCAGACGAACCAGTTCCACGACGAGTATTCTCAATCTGAACCACTTGCTGCCCACGCGGGAGGACCACGGCGCCGACACGTATGGCGTCGGCGAGGTGCGCGACGGCTTCTTTGACGCCGTCTTTCTCCAAGCCGCCCGTCTCCCCTCCAACGATGGCCTCGCGGCTCTCAAAACGACCCTGCCTGCCGCCTATGACTTGCACCATCCGCTCACGATCAGGCACTTTTTCCCGAACCAGTGGCGCGAGCTCAAGACGGTCGTCCGGCAGGTGTTGACCACACATGCTGGCATCAAGCTGCTCAAAGCGTTCTTGGCGTACTTGATTGCTTATATCCTCTGTCTTGTGCCAGCTGTACACCACTGGCTGGGCCACCAATACTACATCATGGCAGTGTCCGTCATTCTCAACCACCCAGCGCGCACTGTCGGTGCTCAAGTCGACGGCGTGGTGCTGACCGCTTTGGGGACTGCTCTTGGGATAGCCTGGGGTGCGCTGGCGCTGCTTTTATCTACATCAACGCGCGCCGCCAGCGCTGGCTATGGTGGAATTCTGGCGCTTTTTCTCGTCGTCTTCATCTCTGGCCTTGCGTGGGTTCGTGCATTCTTCATCAGGTTTTACCAAGCGGTGCTTACCGCTGGCGTCTCGCTCATTTACACGACGCTCTCCGAAACACGTGGGACAATGATTTCCTGGCCGAAGCTGCAAGGCTATGCTGTCTCCTTTCTCCTGGGCCAAGCCATTGCGCTGGCCGTCAATATTGTGATTTGTCCCGACGCAGGCGCCCGGCCGCTCGCACTGACATTGCACCGATCGCTTCAGCTTATGCAGAAAGCCCTTGAAAACCCCCATGCAAGAGATACAAGGCTCCGGAGGCAGCTATCGAAAAACTTTGTGGACCTGTCGGAAGCATACCGCGACATGGTCATTGATAGCACAGTGTCGCGCTTTCTGCCAGAAGACGTGCTCGAGCTGCGGAACCTGATGCAAGCCGTGCTGCGTGCCCTTTTATCCATGGACACTGAGACGAACCTCTTAAACACGGCAAAAAACAGCAAGACAAACGACAGCGAGGAGGGCCAGGAACCCGGCCACAACGGCAAAAACGTACTCGCAGACAATGTGACGGAAGCGTTGGCGCCGCCTACGCGGGATCTCGTTGTCTGCATGCGCGACGCCATTCTCGGATGCGACGCCGCTCTCATGGATATTTCGGGCTACCGAAAGTCCACCGGCCCGTCAATCGACGTCTCATCCGACACAGAAGCTCTGACAGCTCGCCTGCGACAAGCCGTCTACGACTTGGACACCATCGAGTCCTCCCTCTTGCAGTGCGGTCGTTTCCCCGCCTCAGCCGTCTACGACTCCGACATTGTGCAGCTCTTCGTCTTCGCCCGGCACGTCGGCGCGACCGCGACCGCCGTGCAGCGTCTCCTGCACCACGTCACCTCGATGCAGCAGTCCGCGCCGCCGCGGCCGCGCCTCAGCCTCCCGTCCTACCCCTTCGCCAAAGCCATCTACCGCACCAACGCCCAAGTCCGGCACGACCGCGGCGGCGTCGTCGCGGGCTCCTACGAGGTCACCTTTGGCGCCATGGCCCGGCTGCTGGACACAATCACCTCGCGCGCCCACAAGCCTGCTGCCGGCCGCCGCGGCCCCGAGGCGGAGGCGCATCTCACGCCCGCCGCGTCCAACAACACCACCACCACCACCGGCACGCGCACCGACGGCAGGCTCAAGACGGCGACGCGGTATCGCATCTGGCGCGCGCTGTACCAGCTGCAGGGCGTCGAGAGCAAGTACGCGCTCAAGGCGTGCCTGGTCACCGCCCTGCTCGCCGTGCCGTCGTACCTCGACCGCAGCAAGGGCTGGTGGGACCGGTACGACGGCTGGTGGGCCGTCGCCATGAGCTGGGTCGTCATGCACCCGCGCGTCGGCGGCAACTTGCAGGACCTGCTCAACCGGTCGTGCCTCGCCGTTCTTGGCGCCGCGTGGGCCGCCGCCGCGCACGCCGCCGGCCGCGGCAACCCCTACGTCATGGCCGTCTTCGCCGCCGTCTACATGCTGCCCATGCTCTACCGCTACACGCTGAGCGCCCACCCGCGGTCCGGCCTCGTCGGCAGCCTGTCGTTTACCGTCGTCTCTCTCAGCCTCGTCTCCACGCCGACCGCCGCGGCCGTCTCCTGCCGCGGCCTCGTCTTCCTGGTCGGCACCGCCGCGCCCATCCTCGTCAACTGGCTGCTGTGGCCGTTTGTCGCGCGCCACGAGCTGCGCGCCGCCCTGTCCTCGATGCTCTTCTTCATGAGCGTCACCTACCGCAGCACCGTCGCCACCTACGTCTACGCGGCGGCGCAGGCGGCGGCACCCACCGCCGACGACACCACCCGCTCCGAGCTCCTCGAGGGCCGCCTGCGCGAGGGCTTTGTGCGCATCCGCCAGCTGCTCGTGCTCACGCGCCACGAGATGCGCTTGCGCGGCCCGTTTGACCCGCTCCCCTGGTCCGCGCTCACCGAGGCTTGTGAGCGCTTCTTTGAGCACCTCGTTGCCGCGCGGCAGGCCGCCGCCGCGCTGCGGCGACACGAGGACCGGACACCGGTGGAGGGACAGGCTGCCCTGCTGTCGTACCGACGTGACGCCGTCGCCACCGTCCTCGCCAACCTCTACGTCTTGGCCGGCGCGCTGCGCGCACGCCGCAGGGTGCCTCGGCACCTTCCCAGCGCGGCCGCCGCGCGCAAGGCTCTGCTGGTGCGGTCTGACGCGGTCGAGGCGGACATGCTGGCGCGAGAAGCGGCGGCGGCGGCGGACGGGGAGGCGCTACGCAAGCTCGACACGCACCGCAAGTGGAGCGACATTTACCGCTTCTCGTACAAGCAGAGCCTGACAGGCTGCATCGTGCAGCTGGAGGAAATGGAAAAATATACAAAGCTCATTGTGGGCGAGCAAGGGTAAGGCATATACATCTTTTGAACATGATAGAAGCGCGCCTGGCTTGCTGACAGTGACGCAGGTTCGATGATCAGTTTAGCATGTAAAGCATTGCAATATTAACGACAGTGGTGAATGGAAAGAACAGCTCGCCTTGTCGCAATTTATGCCCAATCAGCTCTGATATTCCAAATCATGCCCCAAGAAAACACTATCTATGCCTGAAATTGAATACTCCAATACTGGTGCTGATCGCCACTTCAAAACAACAAGGGAATGAAACCAGTGTAAACCCCCAGAAACTAATCATAACCAAAACACCAATAACTATGCATCAATATGCCCCGTTCGTCATTTCATTGAGGATATCCCTCGTTATCAACTTATCCTTGAGCAGAGCTCTCTCACCAATACGCGCCTTCCTGGGCGATGGCCGCCGGTTCTCTTTCCCAGGTGCCGCCGACAGCGCCTTCTTGGCTCCTAGTGATTTCTTCTTATGGCTTTGTGGCGAGGAAACTTGTGTACCGCCCATGCTCGTTGCCTGCGTGCCGAGTTCTTCAAAGTAATGGTTGTCGAGTGCATCGGGGGGTAAATTGTAGATCCAATCGCGTTGCTCCATCAGCGCAACAAACCGACTGAGCATGTTCTCCTTGTTATTCACGTTGCTGCCACTCAGTGTGCTTTTGCTTCCAATGACAAGGAGCTTGGTTTTGGCGCGGGTAAAAGCCACATTGATTCGCCTCCAGTCACGCAGCAACTCGCCAATATGGCATGCATCGTTGCTGCGCACCAAGCTCAGTACAATGACTTCCTTGTCTCGGCCTTGGAATCGATCAGTCGTGTGCATCTCTACGCCAGGATAGCCCTTTAGCTTGTCTTTCAACAGGGATAGCTGCGACCTATAGTGCGTCATGACTCCGACTTCGCTCGCAGGAATACCGACAGTTAGGAAACTCTCAACTAATTGCGAAACGATGCGCACCTCCGCCGAGTTGACAATACGTTTTCCATGTGCCTCTTCGCGTGCAGCGGGCCGAATGGTATCGGTGTTGACGAAGCGCACGCGGGCTTCGCTTTCTAGAAGATCATACAACCAACATTGAGATGGCGCCGGCCCCTTGCAGAATGACCGAGGAGTTCCGGGAAGCAGCACTGTGGAAGCGTTGTGGTGTCGCTGCGATAGAGCCTTCATGTTTGGAATATGCAGCTTCTTCTTTCGTAGCTCTTCTGTGCCACAAACAAGTTTGCCGTCGTAGATCAAGGTGTTGCTCAGCGTCATAATGTCTTCGCACATCCGGTATTGATGTGCTAGGTTGACGACTGAATCAGGATGACTGTCCGATAGCAATTTGAACAAGCTCACATCTAGACCACCCTGGCGTGCTGTTTCATTCTTCACAACCGGCGGAAGTTGGTTGTGGTCTCCAACAAGTACAAATGTCCTGGCCATGCGAATTGGTCCTGCGCAGATAGGAAGAGTTATCTGAGAAGCTTCGTCGACGATACAGTAGTCGAACGCGCGTTCCTGAAAAACAGGATGATTGATGCCAAGACAGGTTGTTGCGACGACCGGTGTGTCATGCCAGGCCTCCTTGATCTCCTCAAAAGTCGTCTTGGGTTGACCCGCGAGAATAGCAAATTCTTGCACATCGGGGTGAACCTTAGCCGGGGCTCCCAGGCGTAGAACCTTCATCTTGTCAGATTTGAGCTTTAACAAAATGTTATCCACAGCAGTGTGAGTGTGCGAAGTGAGAAGAACACTTTTACCCTGCGACGTGAGAGCTCGAATAATGTGAGCAATCGTCGTAGTCTTTCCTGTCCCCGGCATACCCAGGACCAAAGCATAGTCCTGGGCACTCATGACCTTTTCAATTGCCTTCTTCTGATCCACATTCAGGGTTTCTTGCTCAGAGACGGTGTATTGTGTCGGAATGTGCTTGAACCGAGGAGCTTCAAGGTCGACAATGAGCTCTCGAATACGTCTTGGTTCGGCGAATTGATTGTTCATAATCTGAACAATATTGTTCCTCACGGTTGCCATACCGTTGCTGAATTCGTCTTTATCAAGACGATATCGAATCGGCGCTGCTTTGATCCGCCCTTGGCTCTGCTCGACAGAGGCACCTTCTGGAGCGACTTCCATAATACTGGCAAACACCTGATTATCGACTTCATCAAAGCCAGGATGGCGAATTCGACTGTTGTGGAGTCTTCGATCAACAGCGACGCTGATTCTCTGCTTGCGTTGTGCCGTGACGTAGCCAATTGCCAATGCGAAATGGCCCTCCTCATCGGACACCACAATAGGCTCACCCACACTGATCTCGGATTCCAGAAAGGAGAAACCAGGTCCGGGCTTTCTCTTGACAAAAGTGTAGTGGAAGCGGTTGATGCGTGGCGTGTCAGAGTCCACTGAAGCAGAACCCTCTTCGATAATAACGTCAGCGAAGCATCTCGACTTCTTTTCTCGCTCATTGCTAGTCATTGTCCACAATTCTCGTTTCGTCTTTTGGCTTTCTTTCTCCTCTATCGTAAGTAGATTCTCCCACTTGATAAAAAACTCTTGGTGACGTGGGGTGAGATGCTTCACGAGCTCGTCAAACTGTTCGTCCATTCCGCTAGATTCGCCATCGCCGTCATCTGCTAGACGATGATATATGAAGCAGGATGGTTTGGCATAGCATCGCCCACACATGTTCTTGCTCTTTAGCATTGGCGGTAGCTGAACACTTCGTTCGCGAATGTAGCAGGCGAGCTGATTTCTTTGCATAATCATGTGGCGGAGCTCATGTCGGACAGCAGGAATTCTCATCGTCTTCGAGGTCTCCATGTAGTAGAGGACACCATAGGCGATTTCTATATCGTAACGATCTGATAGTAACAAGGTGTAGAGAGCGGTCTGTGCCATGTGGCTGCTGCTGGCATTTCGACCTGTTTTGACCTCGAATGGAACTGTCAACAATCGTGATTGTTCGCCATCCATCATGTTCACCTCGACGGTTGCATCAATGTTGCCCTTGAGACCATACATTGGCGACCAGACATGTTCTTCGACATCAAGTAGTTTTGTGACAGCCATAGTAGCTTTTTTGCCGTTTCGGTCTTCCACAACAGCATCATTCTACAACGCGTTAGCAAAGCTAGAAATTGGTTCGGGATAGGAAACTCACATTGGGTTGCGGAGAAACAAACGACTTGGCCCAATAGCTTAGTTCCATCATTTTGGACTGCAGATGCTCGCGCGCGCTGGGCAGCCCGACCTTGATGGTGTACAGTTCCTCAACGTGCTTCTCGGTAATTTTCTCAATTAACCGAGCAAGGAAAGGAAGATCCCATCGATTCGCGAGCAAGGCATCTTGGAAAATTTCGTGAAGCATTGTTCCATATACCAAGGGCGCGGATGCCTCGCTAGTAGCTTTTACCCGGTCTTGCAAAACGGCACGGCGCATGCAGCCAAACGAGTCGGCAACCACGGTAGCCGAGACAAGTTGGTCAGGGTGCAGAATGAGTAGGTTTTGCGCGTCATCCACAACGCACTGCCCGTTGATAGAGAATTTGCCAATGACATGCACGTATGACTTGGCGTGAGCAGGGGTGTCGTACCAGGCGCCTCGGAGATGAACTTGACGTGTAAGTTTTGAGTTATCGGGCATGATCAATAGTATCTGCAATGGTTAGAGGCATGCACCCATGCGGTTGTGACGACACTTACCTTCTCAGGCCGCGCAACGTTATACTGGTCGATGTATTCGCTTTCCAGTACGTTGGTAATTAGATACCGCTGTATAGTCTTGTCCTTGTTGATACGCTACTCTTTTACTTAGTGACGGGAGTAGATAGGGCAAAAATGACGTACTTACGCCAGCATTGGCCTTGGCTTGCTGAAATGATTGCGTTGCTGCCAACTCGACAGCCTCAAAATCTATATCATCTGCAAAATCATCTTCAAATTCGTCATCGAGATCTTCTGCTGGCACTGCTGGTTTCTTCTGGATAGCCTCGCGCTTCGGCTGCTGCAAGACTAGTTTCTGTGATAGCCGTACCAGCTCCTCATTATCGAACAGCTCGTCGTCCAAATCGTCGAAGTCATCCGATTTCGGCTTTGGTGGGATCATGGCAGCTGGTTTACTGACTCTGGGCTTTATCGGAGTTTCTTGGGTTGCGGGGGTGGTGGTAGTTAGTTCAAGCTCAATGAGTGCGTCATCGTCAAACTCGTCATCGCCATAATCCGAGGAGCCTCCGGAAGATTCCTTGCCGTTTGCTTTGCAGGGGACGTAAACAGGAAGTGCCTCTACAGCGACGTGCTTCTTCTCTTTCGGTGAAGGTGACTCGATAGCACGTCGGGCGTCACCGGAGCTATCCTCTTGCATGCTGCTCGTGACTGTATTCAGGAGCGCAGACACAAGGGAAGATTTGGATGCAGCCTCGAGGTCGCGCTGGCCTTTGCCAAGCTGGCTTCCTGATTTGGACTTTTCGAGCTTTCTTCGTTTGGGCCAATTGAGCCCACAGCTGGCAGCACGGCGCAGGTTGACGCTTCCTGGTTGGGGTTCGGGTTGTTTGTTGGGCTGCGGCGAGGAAGAGACCATCAGCTGGGCGAGCGCCGGATTGGCAACGGGCGTCTTTCGGCTGGCAGGGCTGGCAAGGGAGAACCTGTCCCAGAGCTCAAAGGTCGGATCGGGATGCGGGGAGCGCAAGGCTTTTGTCAGCCTCTTGATGTTGACAACGGGGACACTCGGCTTGTCGGCAGCTGGAGACGAAGTCGGTGACGAGCTCCTGGCACGCTTCTTGCCCCTCCGGCCGAGCATTGGCGACAAGCCGGAGGCATAGCTGCCGCGTGGCTTGTTATCCCAGAGAATGCGGTCATTGGGAGATGCGTCCTTGTCGGTGTCTTCTGCATTGGCCAGAGGTTCCAAATCGCGCCAGTTGAGTCTCGTCACCGGCGTTGACTGGTCAGCGTGGCCGGGCCTTGACTGCGCTTGCTCGGCACTCTGGCAAGCTTGCGGTGACTCGTCGTCGACCAGGGCTTCGAATCGGAATTTGTTGAGTTTTGTTTTGGTGGCATCGGATGCAGGAATGGGCGGTCTAGGCTTCGGAGTATGGTATCCGTTGGGGTGGCTATGTGATCTTTGCCATGTTGACCGATTATGCGGCTAGGCGTCACGGTTAGAGAGCGCAGAGGTGAGGTCATCCGAGGTACGACTTACCTTTGCTATTCCTCGACTGTCGGAATATGATTTTTGAAGCGGCATGGCCGTGCAAGGATGGAGAAAAATCACAAGATCTGTGTCGATATGGCCGATATATGAACATATGTCACGGCAAGACTTGATTGAAGCCCATATGAGTGAGTGGAAACAAATAACTAGGACGCGTTGAGGAGCCGGTAGCGCGACTCGCTCAGCAACCACAACGCGTACCCCACATGGCGGAACGGCGGCCAGCCACCGCCACAGATAAAGGTAACTAGTTGCCTACTGACATAGAGAGGGTACAGATAAAAAAACAATGAGCTTGAGAAATGCACTCTGAAGCTTGCATCTATAACTTTTTCTTTGTTTCCTATAATGTTTTATTTTATATATTATGCCACAGACGTTGCGAACCAACCAGTTTTGTATGTTTTGTATGTTTTGTATTGTGTCGACAAGCCCACCAAGTATTAGTACCGCCGAGCTTGTCACTCATCCTGGGCTTGTCCAGTGAAAGCTGGCAGTCGCTGCGAAACTTGCTTCCATGTTTCAGACCCAGAAATGAGATTCTTGATCGCCTCAATAATGTCATCTTCTGATGCTCGGACCTGTGCCGTAGAATCACGCTCTCTCAGCGTTATCGAGCCATCCTTCACAGTGTCAAAGTCAACAGTGATTCCCAAGGGTGTACCAAGTTCGTCATTTCTGGCGTATCGTCGTCCAATAGACACACTCGACGTATCTGTATTGTTGGCAATTCCTATAGAACGTAGTCGACTGGCGAGGGATTTGATCGTAGGTTTGAAGCTATCATGGTTGGATAGTGGCACTAAGAGCACCTTGGTTGGGGCCGTGAGAATAGGCAGCGACAGGACCTTTTGCTAGTTAGTTATGGCAAGTGATTTAATATCTTCAAGACAACGTACCTCTCTTGCGGTATCTTGAGGTCGATACCAATACACGTGCTCGAGGATACTGTAAAGAATTCGGCCGATTCCGAATGACGGCTCGATGACGTTTGGTGTATACTCACGTATGTGTTCAACGCGGGTAATCTTTTTGATAGAGCACATATCTCCCGAGAGCTCTGCTGTTGTCTTACCGTCAGCAAGAGCTTCTCCAGTGGGGATGGAGATTGAGGCCTTCTCGGCCAGTTCAGCGGCCAAATTCTCCAGCGTGTTTTGGTCGAGTGCTTGAACAGCTGCCTCAACCTTTTTGGCATCTTTTTTGAAGCGAGGCCCCAGAAGCTTCTTCTCCAACGACGCTTGCCATTCTGTGATTTCGAGGGGCTCTGGGAGATTTTCCTTAACGGTAAGAGGCGTGCCCGTCGCCTTGGAGTGCACAGTCAAATCGTAGGCACTTCGATCGGCGCAGCCAACGCATTCTATCCACCCGTAACTGGTAAGAAGTTCCGCATCCCAGCAGTCACAGGCATAGTGGGCCATTTCATTATCGAGGTGCTGTCGGAAGCGTATCTTTTGGGAATCTGCGCCGATCTTAATGAGAAACATATAGATGCGAGCGAGGAAGTACCCGAGCGTCTCGTTATCGACAAGCTTGCCTCTGACGGCACTGCCAATCGAAGCAGTCTCGACTGTGGTCTTCCCAGACAGCTGCGTCTGCCGGTCCAAGAATGGTAACTCGATGTGCTCAATTTCAGAAAAGCGTTCGTGGGCTTTGTTACTCTCCGGATCGACAAAGTGCTCAACTTCAGCCATGAGGAACTCTCGCACGCGAAGTAAGCCAGATCGAGGCGAAATCTCGTTGCGGTAAGATTTACCAATACAGGCCGATGCAAAAGGCATAGACCCCTGGCAGTAGTCTAATAGTTTGCGAAAATTCAGAAACTGTCCTTGCGCGGTTTCTGGTCGAAAGAAGACGGGCGCTGCCGAACTGGGGCCAATGGTTGATTTGAACATGAGGTTAAAGGCCGTCGGCGCTTCGACCTTTCCGTTTCCGTTTGGGTTTCTGATATCAAGATCTTCGATAAGCTTTCCGAGCTCGGGACCGTCATAATTGTCAATCTAACAACTGAGCATTAGTACTCTGGGCACGGTGCATCAACGGGGAGTCATCATACCTTCGCCAAAATCCCTTTGTATTGCTGCATGGTAGCTTCGTCAAACTGTTCAGCTTTGCTCTTGCTGCTCGTGTCGGCCGGGGTTAATTTGTTGTTGGCGATACGGGTTTCCAATACAGTCTCGACCAAATGATCAGCGCGGAGGAAGTCGCCCTTGACGGGGTCTCTACACATCCAATCGGCAAACTTGTCAACATGTCCGCTGGTCTTCAGCACAGCCTCGGGTGTAATAGATGTACAGTCCAGTTCGAGCATGTTTTCTTCAATGACAAAGTGCCTTCGCCACTCGTTGACGATATTGGACAGGAGTGCACATCCTGGAGGGCCATAGTCGTATAGACCACGATTGTCGCCCTTGTAATTGGGTGCAGTTCGGTAAATCTCGAAGGATTCAGTAAAAAAAAAGCGCCTCTTGAGTAGAGACTCAAGCCGAGGACGGCTGAATTCCTGCCCGGATAGGGTAGTCGTTGGCATCGTGAAGAACTGAACACTCAAGACACTTGAGAAAGTTCAAGGTGATGCGTGCGCGGGAGGTTGGAGGACAACCGGTTGTGACTCAATCCTGGTGAAGCGGGGCAAGATGAACATTTTCGTGGCTCGAGCAAGAATTATTATATTAATAGTATCAAGCTTAATTACAGTAGTCAGGATAACTATAAATTTAACCGATAAATATTCTAATATGAATACTTGTATACTTTTTCTTTCATTGTCAGTCTCTTCAGCTCCTCCGCTGGTGAAATACATCAAGGACGATGATCAGCGCTTCGTGCAACGCAAGTAGTCAGCAAGACAAAAAAAGGCTTACTTGATCGAGCGGATAAAAACAACAATGACGAATACTGTAATACGAAGTTAACGGTCAGGCTGTGACACAGAATTCGCGCCCGTCCCTAAAGTATTCGTAGTCGTATTCGCTGCAATGACGTGGAGCGAAATCAGGCTGGAGGTTTTGGCGACGAACTCAACTCCACTACATTATTGCATTCCGCCCTCTCCTCGATCACAAGCTGATGTGGCTGATTTACCAAGTCTTCATTCGCCCGCTTGCGCCCGCTCTTGACGGGTTTTGTCTCTACTAGTTATGCGCGTATACAAGATGTACGAAGATGCGGATTACTGGCTCGTTAGCGGGCTGGGAGGCTGATGCACATGCTTCAAAGCAATCGTTGTTTGCCCCTTGAATGCGCTTGAAGGGATCCATTCATTGAGCGTAGCACAGCCTGCCGGACAGGTAGAAAGGGGTCTTCACCAGAAATCCAATCTCGAGGATAAAAGACGGCGTCTTTCGCACTTTCTGTCCTAACTTCGAAGCAACAGCCTTCATCACCTACTCACACAAATTCAATCAAAGCAATGTCGTCCACCATTAGCAACCTCGAGCGCGAGGACCACAGTCGCGATGCTGCCTTTAGCAAGGCCATGCATGGAAAATCGGCCGATGCCAAAGGTGGCATTGCTGCCATGTTCGCCAAGGGCGGGCAAGCGAAGCAGGTGGCCGTTGACGAGTACTTCAAGCACTGGGACAACAAGGCAGCCGTCGACGAGACTCCTGAGCAGCGCGCAGTACGTTTTCCCTACCTTTACATGCAAAAGAGAGATTGTGGTGACTTGCCGCGATGACGATTGCCAACGGGGAGGAAAGTGTGCTGACAATGAGCCAGGAGCGAAACGCCGAGTATGCCACTCTGACGAGGCAGTAAGTTTGAGCGCCCCAAAGGCTGAGCAATTGTCTGACTGTGCAGTTACTATAACCTTGTCACCGACATTTACGAGTATGGATGGGGTCGGTCGTTCCACTTCTGTCGCTTTGCCTACGGCGAGACGTTTCACCAGGCCATCGCTCGTCACGAGCATTACCTAGCGCATTGCATCAACATTCAAAAGGGAATGAAGGTCCTAGATGTCGGATGCGGTGTCGGCGGTCCCGCGCTCGAGATTGCCAAGTTCACAGGAGCAAACATTACAGGCCTGAACAACAATGACTATCAGATTCAGCGCGGCACGCGCTATGCGGCCCAGCAAGGCCTCGCCAATCAAGTCGACTTTGTCAAGGGCGACTTCATGGTAAATAATACGAGCTTCTTTTGACCGACGACAGCCGACGCTGACAGATGTACGATAGCAAATGTCATTTCCGGATAACTCGTTTGACGCCGTCTACGCCATTGAAGCTACAGTACACGCCCCCAGTCTTGAGGGTATCTACAGCGAAATCTTTCGCGTCCTCAAGCCCGGCGGCACCTTTGGCGTGTACGAATGGCTCATGACGGACGAGTACGACAACGACAACCTCCGCCACCGCGAGATCCGCCTCGGCATCGAGCAGGGTGACGGCATCGCCAACATGTGCAAAATATCCGAGGCCCTAGAGGCGATGAAGGCGGCCGGCTTTGAGCTGCTGCGCAACGAGGACCTGTCCACGTACCCAGACCCGTCGCCTTGGTACTGGCCGCTCTCGGGGGAGATGAAGTACATGCAGTCCTTGGGTGACGTCTTTACGATCGTCCGCATGACGGGCTGGGGCCGCGCGATTGCGCACAACTTGGCGGGCCTGATGGAGACGCTACGGCTCGCGCCGGCCGGGACCAAGAAGACGGCGGACAGCTTGGCGCTGGCGGCGGATTGTCTGGTGGCTGGTGCACGGGAGAATCTGTTTACGCCCATGTATCTGATGGTTGGTCGGAAACCCGAGTAATGGGCGGCTCGAGAGACGAGTACACCATGGCACCCTGACCAATGCCATGGAGACATAAAGGTCAGTGTCCCAGAAGGAAAGAGACCGAGGCTAGAAAAGGGGATGCAGGATAGGCCAAAAGCGATGTCTGGACGGCAATGTATCTTTGTTTGTATGATGACTTAATAACAAGTTAACTGTTTAATATTTATTTCATCAACCGGTTTGGTGCCATCGCCGTGACGGTCAATGGCCTTAATTTGGTTCGATTGTGCGGCTCCTCTTCAACAAGCCCATCTAGTCTGTCGAGTTCGAAAGCCGCGAAGCCGCGAAGCCACCGCCGATTCAGTCCATTCATCACCGACCAAGTCTACCGACCTCGACAGTATTCTCCTAGAAAAAATCGTCCTTCGATTCTCCAAGCGCTCGGCTGTGTCTAGCTAGGGTGGCTAGCAAATGTCTCGCCACTCGGCCGGGTACGTCCATTTGGCCGTGGGCTTTGGACAGCGTTCTTGTCGTTGTTTCGCTAGACATATGGCCAGGCAACTCCGCCGGTGGCGCCGTAGTCCCATCTTGCTGTATGAGACATGCCGCCTTCCGTCCTGTGGCCGGCCGAGGCAAGTAGCCCACACTCAAACAAAACCTGCTCGGCCATTACGGCCCAATTAACCACTAGCCGATTCGTCGATTGTGGCAGAGAATGGGTCTTGAGAAGTGGCTGTCTTGGTCGCTTCCACTGCCGTTGCAAACAACGTCTAGTCTCTGATCTTCTGGGGGCCTGTAGCCTTGGTGGATAGAGACGTCGCTTTCAGCATGGCAGTGCAGACTAGGATATATGTTCCAAGATCCCTTCGTGTCGACTTGGCGGGTTTCGTCCACGAGGGGGCCATACAAGACAAGAATGTAGCTACCGCATGCCAGTCCGGGTCCCATTAGCTGGATCTCCGCCGCGAGAATGGCTGATCCCAGGCCATCATAATCCATGGCAAGGCGGCGGATAATGCGCCGAGTGGCTTTAATGGAATGTCTTGGAAATGGAGCCATTCGAAGTCGCTTCCACGACATGGGTTACCCGCTCTGATACCCAAGGACGGGGTCAGGCAATGAGGATATCGAAACAACGGAGGATATATCAAAGATGTGAGACAAGGTGTTTCAAAAACTTATTTCGAGTTTTTATTTCAACCGGCATACTGTTTGCGGCTCGGCCGTTGGCTTCGGAATAAAGAGTAAATGGCAACGAGATGGCATGTTCTCGCAGCAACGATCACCGCCTGAAGTGGCATGCCACTCGGTTCTGCCGTGCCGTCAAGAAAAAAAGTTGAAAATCCCATCTCTGCCTTGAGGATGCTGGTGAAAGTGGCCACCAAGCGCAGAAACTAGCACAGGCTGTTGTTGCACAGCCTCCACATTGCGCAACGGTCACAGCAGCTAAAGCTGAGCAGTTGTTATCTGACGGAGTGATCTAGTGCCGAGCCTCAGCGTTGGGGCCCAGGTATGGCAAATAGCCAAAGTCTGAATGTGAGGCTGCGGTCCATTCCCTTGACGGCTAGTGATCATGGTGGGGGATGGGGAGATGTCAGCCAAAACCGCATGTTCAATGGCTCCGACGCATTAATTTCTTTGCTTTTTATGAAACGAGTCTTCTCTTCTCTCATGACACAATTCTAGGACAATACCGAAGTCATCTCTTATCCCAAACCAAGGAGGACTTGAGCAGCTGTAGGAAAAGAAATCAGCTGTTGGTAGCAGGTCTGCAGCTCTCCAGAGACTGAGAGTCAACATCCCCTCAGACCTCGGCGTAGTCGAACATCTACAAATGGACAGCATATTTTGGGTTCACTGCAGTATGTCATGTTCTCATCTTCAGCCGCTCTGAGCTATCCATCGACATATGGGCTGTGTCAGGCGCGTCCGTCCCTCTGTCGTCTTTGGAAAGTCCCTCGCTGGCGCTACTTTTGCAAAATAAGAGCACAAAAGCTGCAGTTCAAGCTTTACTATTGGCCTGACGACGCCCCCTCGGCGGCCGTGGCCACGTTGAGCGCGCATCCAGCCCGGCAGTTGGTTATGCTCCAAAACTCGCGAATCATTGGAGCCAGGGTAGCCAAAACTGACCCTTGTCAAAGAAGCGTCCCTAGTCAATTTTGTGACTTTCCTCCGGGAGGATAACACCAGACCTTCGTGCAGCCCAGTTTCCAACACTGTTCCCCGCCGGGCGCGGTGCGGTGTCTGTCGGTGTTGTAGAAGAAGAAGAAAGCTGGTTGCTCAACTAGCATTGAAAGATTTACGAGCCAGTAGGAAAGACGGCTCATTTTTGTATTGTAAAAGTCTTTCTGCCAAGAAGAATATGTACCAACCAAGTGCGATTGATTCTCCGGGCTGGGTATCAGCGGCCCTCAACTCCAGGCCTCTCGCGTCCTTGAAGACTACATGTGAGACTCCCATATACTCGTCATTCTTTTAAAATTATTCAAAATCTTAACACTATGACGATGCGAAAATGGACGATATTTGGCAAAAGTGAGGATGTGCTGCCCACGAGTGGCATCAGATACGCGCCCCCCTCGTCGTCGTCGCCAGCGTTCACATAGCTTGACAAATCAAGACTAGCAGTGTAATCTCAGAATGGGTCAACTGATAGGGATTATTGCCATCCCAGAGGGAGCTAATTGTTGCCCAGCTATAGGCTAGACTATAAGATCCGTCCAGTTGACGCCTATGGCATTGTGGCACAACGCATCAAGACAAGAATAGGCCTGCAATTATGATACGAGAATACGTGTCACAGTAATTTATAGCTATTAGTTGCATGAGAGTGATGTCTTGTAAAGTTCTCGGCAGTGTGCTTGCCTGGCGTTTGCCCAATCACATAACACGGTGGGAATTGGCGACGGATGCCAGTGCACGTGTCTCTACACACACACACAACACAAACACGACAATATGAGGCCATTGTGGCCATGGCAGTTACAAAGCTGACAGCTTGTGGGCCTAGGTTCCAGACGGGTATCAATATGCATGCCCTTCAGATATCAGGCTGTGTCTCACGACATGGCGCGACTACCTGCTCGCGGCGCGAGGCTGAATCATCTCCACGTTTGCCCGTGGTCTTTAATCCAGCGAATCCACTGTACTATTCAAGTCCTTGGACCTTGACGCACTGACGTGGCTTTTTTCATCCCACCCTCGACGCACACGAGGTTTATAACTCCGAGCCCTGGAATCCTCGTGACACCAAACCGCCCCGGCCCGGGTCTAGCTGCAGACGGAAGACTCGAGCGGCTCGGGTTCAGCTGCAGACGGAAGACTCGAGCTGCAGCACAGTACCAACAATACAGCCAATAGAAGGACCAGAACCCCCCCCCCCTCAATGAAAATCATGCGGCTGGAGCTGGCATCGTCCCAAATCTGGTCCATGTTTCCAAGGCTCGCAGAATGTAGCCGCCCCCACACGCTGTCGACAAGAGACGGGACGTTTGTATGGTACCGGAAGCGGCTCAACGCCGGAGACTTGACGCTCGAGCCGTTGTAAATAAAAAATCATGGCTCTTCTTTCGTATTGGAGATGTTGTCTATTTCGGCCGTGGTCCGAGTTGGACAAACAAGTATATACTTTCCTAACGGGCCATGCAGCTTGGTACGGCGCAATATGTACGGTTACGGAGCCTTTGCACACCATGGGAACAACTTGGTCGGCAAATGAGGCTCCAAGGATAGAGGCGTGGCAAGATATCATGGAAGGATGCGCATGAATGGAACAAGACGTGGCATATAACGCAGGGCTCGCAGCCTTCCCTAGCGCGCCGTATAAGTCCCGTCTTGGGCTTGCACTGCATCCCACCACGAGGACGTGACTGAAGACCAGACGGATGTTCCGGATACTTTTATGCGTAAACAAATGTCAGCGAATATGTTTGTTCAAAAAGACCCCAGGAATATATACATATATATACCTTGGTTCACGCTGCATTCGTCGGTGGGATTCCTATAGATCTAGACCAAGCACAAGCATCATGTACAGCCTCTCCCAACTCGCACCCAGTTGGGAGGCAACAAAACTCCCGAGATGCTGGAAACTGTCAAGAATACCCACAAACATGGCCCCAAGCCCTCTGCACATCAACACCACCTTTGCACTCACAGTCTTGCTGGCGTTGCTGGCGCTGCTCCTCGCCGCGCGCAAGCTCGTCACCGCGCACTGTCATCTGCGCGACTTTCCGGGTCCGTTCTGGGCCGCCTACACGCGGCTGTGGCTCTGCCGGACGCTCGCCTCGGGCGACTCGGCGCAGCTCCTCGTCGGCGTCAACAAGACGCACGGCGCCGTGGCGCGCGTCGGGCCCAACCACCTCGTGACGAGCGACCCGGACCTGACGCGTCAGGTGCTCGCCGTCGGGTCCCGGTGGCGGCGCGGGCCGTGGTTCGACTCGATCCGCATCGACCCGCGCGTGTCCAACATTGTGTCGGAGCGGGACCCGGCCGCGCACAATGCGCTGCGTCGCCGCATTGCCCCCGGCTACGCTGGCCGCGACGTGCCGGGCCTCGAGGACGCCGTCGACGAGCGCATCGCCGCCTTCATCGCGCGCATCGACGAGCGCTGGGTCTCCGAGGCTGGGCGCACCCGGTCGTTTGACATTGCGCGCCGGCTCCAGTTCTTCACCATTGACACCATCACGCAGCTCTGCTTCGGGAAGCCCATGGGCTTTGTCGAGTCCGACTCGGACAAGCACAACTTCATAGCCACGATAGAGATGCAGGTACCCATTGTGCAGCACTTTTCGGTTCTGCTGGCACTCAGCACGCTGCTCAAGTGGGCCTCTGCCGTTCCTTTGCTCAGAGGACTCGTTGTGCCCTCGGCGGCAGACAAGACCGGCATCGGCATCATTATGGGGGTAAGTGCACCGCCACATGAGCAGAAAATATTTCTTTCTCTTTCTGATAAGTCTGTAGTTATCCCGGCAAGAAATTGATGGCCGCATGAGCGAAACGGAGAAGCCCAAGCCTGACATGTTGGGCTCCTTTCTGAAACGCGGCCTCAGTCCGGACCAGGCCGAGATGGAGATATCTATAACACTGTACGAGACACACCCATCCGTAGTACCCCATCAATAGGAGCCCGTGATTGATAAAAAAGTACCGTGTTGGGATAGGGTATGCTAACTTTTTGAATCAGTGTTGCCGGTTCCGATACCACCGCCACAGCTCTTCGCGCGACGTTGCTGTCCATCATCTCGACGCCGACCGTCTACCAGCGGCTTGTCCGGGAGATCGCGACGGCCGAGGCAGACGGGCGCATATCCTCACCTGTGCAAAACGCCGAGGCGCAGCAGCTGCCCTATCTGCAGGCGGTCATCCGGGAGGGCCTCCGGCGGCACCCGCCCATCACGCAGCTCCGCGAGCGCGAGGCGCCGCCCGAAGGCCTGCAGCTTCCCGACGGCCGCCGGATCCCGGGCGGCACGTTTGTCGGCTTCAACGCGTGGGGCACGCAGCTCGACCCCGTATTCGGCGCCGACGCGCACGTCTTCCGGCCCGAGCGATGGCTGCCAGAGAGCTACGAGGATGATGAAGGGGGGGCCCGGCGACTGGCCGCCATGGCCAGGGTGCAGGAGCTCGTGTTTGGCCATGGCATGACGCGCTGCCTGGGCATATCGATTGCCATGATGAACTTGAGCAAGATGTTGGTCGAGGTGAGTTTTCGGACCCCCGTGCGCGGTTCATGGCAGTGCCATCGATTCAAAAGATTGCTGACTGGGGCACAGCTATTTCGCCGGTATGATATACAAACCATCAACAGCCAGAAGCCATGGACGAGTCTGTGCTATGGAATCTTCTTTCAGAAGGACTTTTTTGTGAGGATCACTCGGAGGGCGTCGGTGAATATGCCTAGCTCAGGATAAACAGGTAGGTGGCATGAGGAAGACCAGTCTTGGGCACAGGTAAAAGAAATAAACCGTACCATGGTCATTCCCGACTCTGAATACACTGAGCCAAGCGCTTCCCTCTTGACACTCTGGCCGTTGGCAGCAGTTACATGGGAGGCTGTGAAAGACTTAGTAGGGTTCGTGGCCGTGCAAGCTTGAGGACAAACGGGCGTCCGGAAATTCTGCCCACGGAGCTGATTCCATCAAACTCAAAGGCAGACGCCAGTGACGGCTCGTCAAGAAAAGGCTGCTGCATCATGACGCGCCGTCTTTCCATATCTCTTTGATCTCGCGCCGCGCCTGTTGGCACGCTTCAATACGCTCTCGGAGTCTTTCCTCGTAAGTTTTTTTCGTATCCTTGCTCGTACCTTGATACCGCGTTGAGGTCGGCCATGCTATCTGATGCTTGAGACTGTTTCGTTTGGCTAGTGATGTACCTACGTTCTTTACTAAAGCGTGAAGTGTAGACCCACAAGTTTCCCTAAAGTGCACGTATTGTCCAGCGGCTTTCCTCTTTTGAACTTTTTCTCTTTTATGATGCTGCCTGTTCGTATTCTCTTTATTTAGCTTATTTCCCTTCCTTATCAAATTGAATACATACTTTAAATTTAGTATAGCTATTTTTTAGATACCTACTTTATGTATGTCCTTGGCCCGAAGCTCCCCACTTTCCCGGAAGCTCTGCATCTCCACCACTGCGTCACCATAATTCGACGCCTTTGCCTTTGCTGCCTCCTCCATCATCCAACCGACCCGTTTCCATATCCCTCCGCATCCTCGACCTCCTCGCCGTCCCTACTCCCATCCTCTTCCAAGATGGACAGATCCGACGGCAACAACAACACCACCACCAGCAATGGTGGCGGCAGCAACACCAACCATCCGACCAATGCACCGCAGCAGCAGCAGCAGCAGCAACGCGTGCCGCACCCCGGCGACAGCAGCCGCGCCGTGCGGGCCGAGCTCGAGGCCAAGCGCCGCGCGACCGTCGAGAAGCAGCGGCGGTACGCGCCGCTCGTGCGGGAGCAGATGCCGCGCGTCATGGGCGACACGGCGCCGGCGTGGTACGCCCGGCTGCGGCTGCTGACGCCGCCCATGTACGCGCGCATCGCCGAGGTGGGCGTG